GGGTGACAGAATGAGATACTGTCTCAAAAAAAAAAAAAGGAAAGGAAAGAAAAGAAAAGAATCTCAAAAAATACCTGATACTGCTAAGGGTCATAGTGCAAGGTCATCCTAAGTCCATCATCTAGTTAAAAGGTGAGGATAGCCGGGCGCGGTGGCTCAAGCCTGTAATCCCAGCACTTTGGGAGGCCGAGACGGGCGGATCACGAGGTCGGGAGATCGAGACCATCCTGGTTAACACGGTGAAACCCCGTCTCTACTAAAAAATACAAAAAACTAGCCGGGCGAGGTGGCGGGCGCCTGTAGTCCCAGCTACTCGGGAGGCTGAGGCAGGAGAATGGCGTGAACCCGGGAGGCGGAGCTTGCAGTGAGCTGAGATCCGGCCACTGCACTCCAGCCTGGGTGACAGAGCGAGACTCCGTCTCAAAAAAAAAAAAAAAAAAAAAAAAGTGAGGATAGTGAGTCACAGGAGAAAGAAACCAGCAAGATATTGGGTTGATGGGACAAAACAGGGCTAAAGAGTCAAGGAAAAGGCCAGATGCAGTGACTCATGCCTGTAATCCCAGCACTTTGGGAGGCCAAGGTAGGTAGATCGCTTGAGCTCAGGAATTTGAGACCAACCTGGGCAACATGGTACAACCCCATCTCTACCAAAAAATTAGCTGAACGTGGTGGCATGTGCCTGTGGTCCCAGCTACTCAGGAGGCTGAGGTGGGAGGATCACTTGAGCCTGGGAGGCGGAGGTTGCAGTGAGCTGAGATTGCACCACTGCACTCCAGCCTGAGTGGCAGAGTGAGACTCTGTCTCAAAAAAAAGGAAAAAAAAAAAAAATCAAGGAAAAAATCGAGGAATGACAGATTAGAGTAACAAACTAGGAATCTGAGGAAGTTACAAAAAACTGAAGGTAGAAAATCGCCTGATCGGCCGGGCGCGGTGGCTCAAGCCTGTAATCCCAGCACTTTGGGAGGCCGAGACGGGCGGATCACGAGGTCAGGAGATCGAGACCATCCTGGGTAACACAGTGAAACCCCGTCTCTACTAAAAATACAAAAACTTAGCCGGGCGAGGTGGCAGGCGCCTGTAGTCCCAGCTACTCGGGAGGCTGAGGCAGGAGAATGGTGTGAACCCGGGAGGCGGAGCTTGCAGTGAGCTGAGATCCGGCCACTGCACTCCCGCCTGGGTGACAGAGCGAGACTCCGTCTCAAAAACAAAAAAAAAAAAAAAAAAAAAAAAAAAGAAAATCGCCTGATCCTTCCCCATCCCTCTCTTTTAGATGAACTACCCCGGGCAGAGGGTCTGGGTGCCAGTGAGGCAGCTGAAAGGCTGGGCCGAGGTTGTATGTGGGATGTGGCTGGAGAAGATGGACGTCACTGGAGGGTGTTCCGAATTGGACCACGGGAGCAGCGCGTAGACATGACTGTCATTGAGCCCTATAAGAAAGTCCTGTCTCATGGAGGTAATGGCTAGCATAAATGGAGGGTAAGAGCTATGGCTTCTTTTTTTTTTTTTTTTTTTTTTTTTTTTGAGACGGAGTCTAGCTCTGTCACCCAGGCTGGAGTGCAGTGGCCGGATCTCAGCTCACTGCAAGCTCCGCCTCCCGGGTTCACGCCATTCTCCTGCCTCAGCCTCCCGAGTAGCTGGGACTACAGGCGCCTGCCACCTCGCCCGGCTAAGTTTTTGTATTTTTAGTAGAGACGGGGTTTCACTGTGTTACCCAGGATGGTCTCGATCTCCTGACCTCGTGATCCGCCCGTCTCGGCCTCCCAAAGTGCTGGGATTACAGGCTTGAGCCACCGTGCCCGGCCTGAGCTATGGCTTCTTAATAAAATGCCTAAGCTGGAGACTCAGTCATTGGATCCAAAATCTATCCTGTAACTTCCAAAGACCCTCAGAGTCCCTCAATTTAAACAGATATACTATCTATCAATACATATTTGTTGACCAAATGAATTTTCCCCTTATACTCTCCAGGTTACCACGGTGATGGCCTCAATGCTGTCATCCTTTTTGCTTCCTGTTATTTACCTAGAAGCAGCATCCCCAACTACACCTATGTCATGGAACACTTGTTTAGGTGAGGTGGAAGGCCTGAAGGGCTACAGGGCAGTGTTAGGGAGGGAAAAGTGAAAAAGAACTCCTTCAAAGATCAGTAGCTGATGGGAGAGTACAGTAATGTTCCTCTCACTCCCTGAAACCCCCAACACATACCTTCCCTGCAATTTCATCCCCCTAGGTATATGGTGGGAACTCTGGAGCTGCTAGTAGCTGAAAATTACCTGCTTGTTCATTTGAGTGGAGGCACAAGCAGGGCCCAAGTTCCACCTCTGAGCTGGATACGCCAGTGTTACCGTACCCTGGATCGGCGGTGAGACCTGGGATGAGAGGGCTACAACTGTCTATCTCATCTTTTTTTCCCACCTTTCTATTATTTCTTCTTCCATTTAGTCCTTTCCTATTGTCTTTGTCCTTCCACGTTCCTTTCCCAGCTCTTTTGTCTTCTGTCCTCTCCTGGAGTCAGGGAAATCTAGCTTCAAATCTTGCCATTACCACATTACCATTTACTAGCTATATGGCTTTGGACAAGTCACTTAACCTCCCTGGGCTTCAGCTTCAGCTGGCTGTGTTATCCAGACTGGAGTACAGTGGCATGATCTCGGCTCATTGCCACCTCTGACTGCCAGGCTCAAGCGATCCTCCCACCTCAGCCTCCCAAGTAACTGGGACTACAGGCATGGGCCACCATGCTCGGCTAACTTTTGTATTTTTTGTAGAGATGGAGTTTCACCATTTTGCCCAGGCTGATCTCAAACTCCTGAGCTCAAGTGATCTGCCCGCCTCCACCTCCCAAAGTGCTGGGATTATAGGCATGAGGCACTGCACCTGGCCACTTTAGCTTCTTTATCTGTAAAATGGCAATGATTATACTTTTGCCACTGGGTATTTGTGAAAAGCAATTAAATTAGTGTGGCATATTGCCTGGCACACAGGAAGCACTCTTCTCTTCTCTCAGTCTTGCTATTTATTTCCCTTTCCATACCTCCATTATCTTCTTCTCTGCCTTCATCACTGACCTATGTGTCTTCTCTGTCACCAGGCTGTAGTGCAGTGGTGCGATCATGGCTCACTGGAACCTCTGCCTCCCTGGCTCAAGCCACTCTCCCACCTCAGCCTTCCAAGTAGCTGGGAGTACAGGCATGCGCCACCACCATGCCTAGCTAATTTTTGTATTTTGTTGTTGTTGTTGTTAGAGACAGGGTTTTGCCATGTTTCTCAGGCCAGTCTTGAACTCCTGAGCTCAGGTGATCTGCCTGCCTCAGCCTCCCAAAGTGCTGGGATTACAGGCGTGAGACACTGTCTCTGGCCCTATGTCTTCTTTTCCTTCTCAGGATTTTTTTTTCCCCTTTTGTTTCCCCCATCTCCCTTTGCTCACTTTTCTCTTCTTGCCCCCTTTCCTTTTTTTGTCCTTGCTGGTCTTCTTCCACCTAGAGTTTTATAAGTAATCTTGGTCATGGAGCGATGCAAAAGCATGCAAAAGGAACTTACGCAAGGGTAGGGCACAAGAGGGAAATGGAGCAGAAAAAGACCAGGTGGCTGGGCGCGGTGGCTCATGTCTGTAATCCCAGCACTTTGGAAGGCCGAGGTGGGCGGATCACAAGGTGAGGAGTTCAAGACCAGCCTGGCCAACATGGTGACAAGTCACCATCTCTACTAAAAATATATAAAAATTAGCTGGGCATGGTGGCGTGTGCCTATAATCCCAGCTTCTTGGGAGGCTGAGGCAGAAGAATTGATTGAAACCGGAAGGTGGAGGGTTGCAGTGAGCCGAGATCGCACCACTGCACTCCAGCCTGGCGACAGAGCGAGATTCCGTCTCAAAAAAAAAAAAAAAAAAAAATCTGAAAGGAGAGTTTTTTAAAAGTGAGGATCATGGAGGGCTAAATAAGATGGGCGGAGCTGAGATTACAGCTGACGGAATGGGGATTAGACCCAAGTACCAGATAAATCTAGAAACTAGAGAAGTGAAGGAAGTTACAGTACAGAAAACAGTTCCACTTGATCTTCACACATAAAGGTGGAAGAAGAAATAGGATGATCTCCTGTTGTTTTTCAGGCTACGGAAAAACCTGCGAGCCCTGGTGGTTGTCCATGCTACATGGTATGTGAAGGCATTTCTGGCACTGCTTCGGCCCTTCATCAGGTACTAGTTCTAGGAACAAGGACTCCCTTCTCCTTCCCCCCATTTTCAAAATCAAGATTAAGATCTTTCTCCACCTTGATTCTTTCTAGCCTTAACCACTCTACTTCTACATTTTTCTTTGCAAGGATTTTTGGGAACCCTTCTCCCAATACAAAACACAGTTGGTTTATTCTCTCTTTTCAGTTCCAAATTCACACGAAAAATCCGTTTTCTGGACAGCCTGGGGGAGCTGGCGCAACTCGTATCCCTGGATCAAGTCCACATCCCTGAAGCTGTCAGACAGTGAGTTTCACACTTAAGGATAAAGCTTTGGGGGTGGGATGTGTAAAGCCAATCCCTACTTTTTTAATGCCTTGGGGGACATACAAAAGAACGAAAGACAGAGGCCCTGCTTTTGGGTGCTTTAATATATATGGGGAAACTGCACACACCCAGAGAAGAAATGAAGGACACTATTGCATCCAACAAGAATAAATGAAAAAAAACCCTATATATATAAGTGCAGAGGCAATAAGGAATAATCACAGTGCAGAGGAGATTCCGACTGGCCCTAGAAATTAGGAAGAGATGTGTTGGAAGTGAACAGATGATATCCAGTGGGGGAGAGGGTATTAGGGAGCAAAAGTGCTAAATGATGACTCAACCCAATCATCTAGCTCTTCCAGTTCACCTGGCTTGTCTCCCCAAACCAGAAAGTAAAACCCAAGTCCTGCCCCTGAACCTCTTCTCTCCTCTCGTCTCCCCTCCCTCTCCTAGGCTGGACCGGGATCTCCATGGCTCAGGAGGGACCTAACACAGGACTGGATAAAAGGCCTTAGAACCAGTTAGTGATCTGCCTACACCTGAATCCCTGAAACATCTGAGCTGTTTTGTAAATCATCTTATCCCCAATCTCAGTACCACTGGATCTTCACTTCTCAGTGGGATTTTGTCCTTTGCATGACCCTGCCTTCAGCAGGGCTTTGAGACTGGGAAGCTGGTCTGCTGGGTGACTTTCATTCCAGTTGTTGGGGCGGAAGGCTGAATGTAGGGTCATTTTGTATGGGATATGCAGAGCTCTGGGGTTGTTTTGTTTTTTGAGTTGGAGTCCGGCTCTGTGGCCAAGCTGGAGTGCAGTGACGCCATCTTGGCTCACTGCAACCTCTGTCTCCTGGTTCGAGCCATTCTTCTGCCTCAGCATCCCGAGTAGCTGAGACTACAGGCACACACCACGCCCAATTAATTTTTTTGTATTTTTAGTACAGACAGGGTTTCACCTTGTTGGCCAGGATGGTCTTGATCTCTTGACCTCGTGATCTGCCCGCCTCAGCCTCCCAAAGTGCAGAGATTACAGTTGTGAGCCACTGCGCCCGGCCAGAGCTCTGGGTTTTAATCCTACTTTAGCTGTAGAACCTTGGGCAAATCATCTTTTTGGGTCCTCATTTTCCTCCTCTCTAAGTGGAAGGGCTGTGATCCTTCCACCTTGGATGGAAGAGGCTTACCTGACAGCCAGCCTGCCTGCTGGGAGCCAGGAGAGTCAGCTCCTTAAATCTTGAAGAACCCCTGTATGCCCTTTTTCCTTCTAAGTCATGTCTGCTGCCTGTGAGCCTGGGAAGGAGTGCTTTCAAAACCTGTATTTTGCGCTTTAGTAAATTTAGAACTGTAGAGACTAATAAACTGCGATGAGACATTTAAGCTCTACTCCAAAGAAGTGAACGACTCTTTCACCACCCCTTGCATCCCAAACCTTCTTTCGGTTCTGGCAGAGTTCTTGCCGCAGAGATTCCTTAGGAGCACCCCGCGCGGTGCGCGGGCGCCTGCGCGTCGAACCCCACCCCCTTCCCCGCGGGCCTCGGTTCAAACGACCCAGTGGGTCTAGAGCGGAAGGGAGGGAGCGAAGGTAGGAGGCAGGGCCTGCCTCAGTGGCCTCCCTCCCAACCCCAAGAGCCCAGCCCCATGGTCCCCGCCGCCGGCGCGCTGCTGTGGGTCCTGCTGCTGAGTCTGGGTCCCCGGGCGGCGGGGGCCCAAGGCCTGACCCAGACTCCGACCGCAATGCAGAGGATCAGTTTACGCTCTGCGGGCCCCAGGACCCGCAGCTACCGGAGCACCGCCCGGCCTGTTCTTCCCCGGAAGACGAGGATAATCCTAGAGGACGATAATGATGCCATGGCCGACGCCGACCGCCTGGCTGGACCGGCGGCTGCAGAGCTCTTGGCCGCCACGGTGTCCACCGGCTTTAGCCGGTCGTCCACCATTAACGAGGAGGATGGGTCTTCGGAAGAGGGGGTTGTGATTAATGCCGGAAAGGATAACACCAGCAGAGAGCTTCCCAGTGTGACTCCCAGTACAGCGGGGAGTTCCAGCACGAGGTTTATAGCCAATAGTCAGGAGCCTGAAATCAGGATGACTTCAAGCCTGCCGCACTCCCCCGGGAGGTCTACTGAGGACCCGCCAGGCTCGGAGGCCACCCTGAGCCAGTGGTCCACACCCGGGTCTACCCCGAGCCGGTGGCCGTCACCCTCATCTACAGCCATGCCACCTCCTGAGGATCTGCGACTGGTGCTGATGCCCTGGGGCCCGTGGCACTGCCACTGCAAGTCGGGCACCATGAGCCGGAGCCGGTCTGGGAAGCTGCACGGCCTTTCCGGGCGCCTTAGAGTTGGGGCACTGAGCCAACTCCGCACGGAGCACAAGCCTTGCACCTACCAACAATGTCCCTGCAACCGACTTCGGGAAGAGTGCCCCCTGGACACAAGTCTCTGTACTGACACCAACTGTGCCTCTCAGAGCACCACCAGTACCAGGGCCACCACTACCCCCTTCCCCACCATCCACCTCAGAAGCAGTCCCAGCCTGCCACCCACCAGCCCCTGCCCAGCCCTGGCTTTTTGGAAACAGGTCAGGATTGGCCTGGAGGATATTTGGAATAGCCTCTCTTCAGTGTTCACAGAGATGCAACCAGTAAGTGTTTGGTGATAAGCCAGAGTCTTTGATGATGGATCTGAAAAGTCTTGATATCTAAAACCCAGTTGCTAAGCCAGCCAGTGTTGCTTACATGAACTGTTACTGACTTACCTGGTTATTGATTCATAACATGCATTGGTTATTCACAATGTTAGCCATTGATTCCACCTTTTTTTTTTTTTTTGAGACGGAGTCTTGCTCTGTCGCCCAGGCTGGAGTGCAGTGGCGGGATCTCAGCTCACTGCAAGCTCCGCCTCTAGGGTTTACGCCATTCTCCTGCCTCAGCCTCCCGAGTAGCTGGGATTACAGGTGCCCGCCACCTCGCCCGGCTAGTTTTCTGTATTTTTTTAGTAGAGACGGGGTTTCACCGTGTTCGCCAGGATGGTCTCGATCTCCTGACCTCGTGATCCGCCCGTCTCAGCCTTCCAAAGTGCTGGGATTACAGGCTTAAGCCACCACACCCAGCTGATTCCACCTATTATTTATTGAGCAACTACTGGTTGGTCATTAGGTAAAATGTCTTACTGCTCATTAGGTGATTAGTGACCAAACAGTTAATAGTTAAGATTGGAAATACTTTTTTTTAAAGACAGAGTTTCACTCTTATTGCCAAGGCTGGAGTGCAATGGCATGATCTTGGCTCACTGCAACCTCTGCCTCCCAGGTTCAAGCAATTCTCCTGCCTCAGCCTCTTGACTAGCTGGGATTATAGGCACTCACCCACTACCACACCCAGCTAATTTTGTTTTTGTTTTTGTTTAGTAGAGATGGGGTTTTACCATGTTGGCCAGGCTGGTCTAGAACTCCTGACTTCAAGTGATCCACCTGCCTCGGCCTCCCAAAATGCTGGGATTATAGGCATGAGCCACTGAGCCTAGCCCTGGAAATTCTTTCTTTTTTTTACAAAGTCTCGCTATATTGCCCAGGATGGTCTTGAACTCCTGGGCTCAAGCAATTCTCCTGCCTCAGCCTTCCAAAGTGCTGGGATTACAGGCATGAGCTACTGTGCCCCTGGCCATAAGACTTTTTTTTTTTCAAGACAGGGTCTTACTCTCATCACTCAGGCTGGAGTGTGGTGGTGCAATCACAACTCACTGCAGCCTCCGTCTTCTGAGCTCACGCAATCCTCCCACTTTAGCCTGCTGAGTAGCTGGGACTACAGACATGCACCACGCCTGGCTAACAAGATCTCACTATGTTGCCCAGGCTGGTCTCCAACTCCTGAGCTCAAGGGATCTGCCCACCTTGGCCTTCCAGAATTCTGGGATTACAGACATGAACCACCATGCCCAGCCCATAAAGACTTTTTGATGCACAGATAATTAACAGATATGGAGGATCTTAATCAATTAATAGTTTTGACCTAATACAGCTTAATAGCAACAACTGCCAAAATTTGAGGTCTTACTATGTGCACTTTACCTGAATCGATCTTCACACCCTATGAGGTATTATTATCCCCGCTTTTCAGATGAAGAAATTGAGGTTTACAAAGCTAGTAAGTGGCAGAGCCATGAGATTTAAATCAGGTTTGACACCAGTGCCAACCCTCTTCACCACTACCATCTGGGAGAACTGTCCTTCCGGGACAAGGAAGGATAGTCCTCTGCTTTACCCAGAATTACCAAAGGTTCTGATTGACTTGATAAGGTTTCAATTGATACAGATGATAGGACTTTGAGGAGGGAAAGGTGATAAACAAAGCATATGCTTGGTCATTTTGCTTGTTTCTGTTTTTCTCCTTGTGTGCCCAGTACCATTATTGCATACAAAAATAAGTAAAGGGTGGGCAATAGGGTTGAGGGAATATGGGTTTGTGGGAGGGGGAGATGAAGCAAGGAAGGGAAAGAATATAGATGTGGTTGTAATTTCCCTTTTTCTCTATTTTTTTTCCTTACCCAGATAGACAGAAACCAGAGGTAATGGCCACTTCATCCACATGAGGAGATATCAGCATCTCAACCTCTCATGCCCTTTCAATCCTAGCACCCACTAGATATTTTCAGAACAGAAAAACAAAACTGGAAAATACATTGTTTGGTCTTGTGTTTCTTTACAGAGGTACCTGAGGGAGGAGAGACGTAAATCTCTTCATCACTAAGACTGAACTGTGTAACTAGCAGCCTCTGGCTTATTCCCTACTCCCTGTCCCTCAGGATAAAATGTTGATATTGCTCATTTTCCTCATTTCCAACATTGTTTTAAAACAACTACTTCTTTTACAGGCTTGAAAAATCTCAAATAAACGCTAAGAAAAGGGAGTAGGAAGAACAAGGAGTTGAGCCCTTGAAAGATGACATTGGTCTTCTTGCCTTCATAATACTTGGCCCTCTCTCCTCAGAAGGGCAATGTTGGTACAAAATTCCATCTTGGCCACTTTGGAGGAGTTATCTTCATTAGCCACATCCATCCTTTAATCCAACACACACCTGCAGTGATTACTGTGCAACTATTTTGCTTAAATTTTTTTATTTGAAAAATGTATTTAAAAGTCCAACAACTTTTTAATATAAATTATGACTCTCAAACCCATTCCCATCACTTTATTAGTGATGGTAGCATACATATTAGAGAAGGTAGCTAAAGGCAAGAGAGCACCAAAGGAAAAAGACTGTGTCCAAAGAACAGGTATTAAATGGGGCTGAAGATCATGGTAACCAGAGATTTCCAGGAGTCTCTAATCTTTCTACCCTATCCTGTTAACCCTTTAGATCTCTAGTATAACACTCAGGCTACTGAGGTATTTTAGGGCAACAAGTTGGGTTACTTTCAGAGCAACCAGCTTGACTGGAACTGAGAGTAAATTGGGAATGTAGGACCAATCTTAGACCCTGAAAAATGGCAGAAAATACATGGAAATTAAAAAAAAAAAATAGAACCTCAGTCACTGCTCTGTAGGTATAAGCAAACTGAATGGGTGGTGGAATTGGCAGAATGGATACCAGTTCCTACCTTCCTGACCCCACTACCATAGAACAGGATGTTTCCTGTTGCAAATGGAATGAGACCCCAGCCTTGTCTCACAGCAGGCAGGAGCTCATCTGTCTTGTTCTGCCTTCCTTATTACCCTGGAAGGGCCAGAACAAAGAACACCTGAGAATACTGAAAGTGCCTAAAGACCCCTGCTCCTACGTTGTTTTCCCATCTAAAGCAGACTCTTCAGCCGGGGGGGGCAGTGGGACCTGGTCTTCAGACAAAACTCCCTGAGTCTAATGTGTGTCTGGTTCTAGGACTAGGGCACAGAAATAGAGCTTAAAATTTGGGGAGGATAAGGAGTGTATCTACTGCTTCTCTCTCCCCCATCCTCAATCCTACCATACCCTGTTCATATCTACACTGCAGGAACCACTTCTCCAGAGGGCGAGAATGGAGGAGCATGGGACCTGTCCATCACAGCAACACGCGAGCACAAGCAAAACACTGAATAAAGAATTGTTTGGAGATTATGTGCAGCCCTGCTGAGCCTCATTTATACGAGCTCCTAGTTCATCCATGGCTCGGGCTTAAGATGAGTAACATGATGAGGGTAGCGTGCCAAGCAGAAATCACTTCAGAGAAAAATATCTTGACTTTAGAGCTGTGGTTCTCAAATGGAGGCGATTTTGCCCCCTAGGAGAAATTTGGCAATGTATAGAGACATTTTTGGTTGTCATAACTAGGGTGGGCCAGGGATGCTGCCAAATATCCTGTAATGCACAAAACAGGAAACAGGTATCCTTTACCAAGAACACTTCAGCCCAAAATGTCAAAGGCATCTCGGTTGTGAAACCTTGTTCTAGAGCCTCTCCCTGCTCCCGTGCTGTGAGGATCTTAAGACTCCTAAACTCACAGATGATTGTTTTCAACCTATTTATCTCACCATCCTCAATGATCAGAAGTTCACCTTGAGATGGACTTACTCCTAGTTCTGCTGCATTCTGGGTTTCTCTCCAGACCCCTCTTCCTCCTCTCACCTGGGCCACCAGGGAGGTTGGCAGAGGGCAGGAAAAATGCCCCAAGACTTAAATGGAATGTCATCAGGTGAAAAGCTATCTCTTACCTTAACTCTTATTCGGTGGGAAACAAGGTTCCTAATAGGGATAGAGTTAAGGGTGGAGGCAACAGCAGGATGGGGATTAAGAGAACCTGAATTAAATTTTTAATATTTTAAAAGAGGAAAGTTGCTGGGAAGCTGGTAAACAGAAACAGAGGATTGATTAGAGGCCTAACTAGAGAGAGACACTGGTATTAGCAGAGAGATATTGAGGGGCTGTGAGCCTAAGGTTTGAAATCTAAAGAGTGGAAAAGGGAGTAGTCACCCCCACCAGCCCGTTTGACATCTGCTTTAGTTCATTCCAGGAGGAAGAACGGCAGGGAGGTAGGGAGCTTTTCAGCAAAGCCAGCTTCAGCTTTGATAATTTCACCCACCTACCCCATTTAAGGAGTTCCAGGTTAAGAGTTTAAAAACAGGTGGCACCCAGACCATCATTCAGGAGACAGGAACTCATTCCAGGTTCCTAGAGAACTCCTATCTCAGATCTGAGGGTGTCCAGGGCTTCAGCTGAGCTCCTCTGGCTAACCAGTAGTCACTTGGTCAGTCCTGCTGCCTTGACCCCATCTCCAGGAGGGGCTATAGCCAGAGGGAGTAGAGGGAGTCCAGCCCCCAAGCCTTATGAGGCACTGTTAGGCAGATAGGGAAAAGAGGGGTCCTTAGATCACTGGTTCAAGGAGGGATCTGGTAGGGGCAGCATTTCTTCTGGGCTGGAAACAGAATGGGGTTTTCAAGATGGCAGAACCTGAAATTTAAAAAAAAAAAATTTTTTTCTTAAAGATTAGCCTCAAAGAAAACCAAGGCTTTAGGAAGAAGGCACTACCTAGTGCAGACTTTAAGCTGTTTCCACAGTGTGTTCTTTACTTCTATCTGCACAACACCCTCTCAGTCTTTCTATATCCTATGGTTGTTTTTTGTTTTTTTGTTTTTTTTTTTTTTTGAGACAATCTCGCTGTGTTGCCCAGGCTGGAGTGCAGTGGCACGATCTAGGCTCACTGCAACCTCCACCTCCCGAGTTCAAGTGATTCTCCTGCCTCAGCTGCCTGAGTAACTAGGATTACAGGCGTGTGCCATCATGCCTGGCTAATTTTTGTACTTTTAGTAGACACAGGGTTTCACCACGTTGGCCAGGCTGGTCTCAAACTCCTGACCTCAAGTCATCCGCTGACCTCGGCCTCCCAAAGTGCTGGGATTACAGGCGTTAGCCACCATGCCCAGCTTAGATCCCACATTCTTGAATCTTCCCTTCTAATTCCTCCCTATCTCCCATTCTTTTTTTTTTATTTTTTGAGATAGAGTCTCACTCTATCACACAGGCTGGAGTGCAGTGGCGCGATCTCAGCTCACTGTAACCTCCACCTCCCGGGTTCAAGTGATTCTCATGCCTCAGCCTCTCAGGTAGATGGGACTATAAGAGCATGCCACTGTGCCCAGCTAATTTTTGTATTTTTTGGTAGAGACGGGGTTTTGCCTCATTGGCCAGGCTGGTCTTGAACTCCTAGCCTCAAGTGATCCACCCACCTCAGCCTCCCAAAGTGCTGGGATTACAGGCATGAGCCACCACGCCTGGCCACACCTTTCTTTCTTGCATGAGATCAGGGTTCTGCGTCAGGGTATCAGGTTGTGTTGTTATGGGGGCTGAGGTGTAGGGTGGGTTTCTCTAATCACTCACCGTTCCATTATTGGAGCTATAAGCCCCTAGAATTGCTCCATGGCCTATCTCGGTTTCCCTTGGATCTCATCTGCTCCTGAACTGCACCTGTCTGTGAAAAAACAGATGTGAGACACCTTCCTAAGTCTTCATATCCTACAGTAAGAACTCTACTTTGTGCCCTCCAAGGAAAAGGTTGATGCCATCTCCTTGACAATAGCAGCCGTCTACTAACCGCCATTCCTCCTAGGCGAGTCTCAATGCCTCTTTTCACACTGGCCTTCATGAGGATGAGGTAAAATGGGTCTTTTACTAATATTCCCTCACAATGGATTCTCCCCTATATACCTGAGTTTCAGGATCTGGGAAAAGACTATCTTTAGACCCATTTCCCTTATTTTGGGAACAGAAGTGCATCTTAGACATTGTTTAGGATGACGGTGCTCAGCTTTTTTCCTGTCCCAACACTCCTAAATATATGATTTACTCTGACACTGAGATAGCAGCTCTTAATTAGGAGAAGGGAGGATTACAAGCTTTTTGGAAAAAGCCCTCCAACTATTAAGATATATATACCCCCTACCCCAGTGAAGAACAATCTGCTAAGTTGTAAAGATGAGAGAACCTAGGCCCAGACACCTAAAATGCCAGGTCTCAGGTTTCCACAACTTGTGACCAGGACTAGAATCCCAGGTTTTTACTTCCCCATTGAGTATTTTCATATGTCCCTAGCTTAAACTTTCAAAAAGAAGGAACGGTTATAGACCTCACCCCCGTATCAACCTATCCCCATTTCCTTGTTACCATGGCAAGTCCATCTCCGGCCCCCATCTCCCCAGAGCCAATGTGAGTCAGGTGGACAAAATTCATTGGTTCCCCAATCATGGTCCGGTCAATCCGTCTTCTCTTCTTCTTCTGTTTGGAGAAGATAAGGAGTCATGTCTTAAGGCCCCTCCTCCAGTCAGAGTGGAGGAAGGGAAAAGAGTCTTCAAAACCACTAAAAAGCTAAGGGCCTGGTGGGAAGAGGGGATGTGGCATTGTAACAGGGAAACCACTAGGGCATGAAAGGCAAAGCTAGAACAACAAAAGCACACAGAAGACATGAACCAGAGTAGTGAGGGCAGTGGCCTGTAGAGTGAACACCGGACGAAGAAAGGACACGTCAAAGTCACCTCTGACTGATGACGAAATAATGGGGAAAACTGACAGGTATGCAGCTCCACCTACAAACCCCGCCCAGCTCAGAATGGACAGGAACAGGAGGTAATAGCTAGGACTATTCACTTCTTCCATCACCCAATGCCCTTTATTCCACATATACAGCTGCTTGACTATAGACGCTCCTGACACAGAGGGAGGCAAGAAGTGTGCTTTTTAGATGGCAGATCCTAGATGGTGTGGCCACCTCACAGCACATGGTAATTGACTGCTCTTTGGGTTAGGATGGGGGTGGGGAGACTCACCGGCTGGGGTTTCTCTACCACACAGCAGCCCAGTTTGTGCCAAAATTCACTCATGTTCCCTGATGGTTCCAGCTTCACTCCTCTGTCTGAGGCCCCAAAGGGCTCTTGCTCTGGTATTTGGACAACCCACTCCTCACTCTCCCCAGATATAACAACACCCTGGGTTCACTCAGCTGGATGGGTCCAGAGAAAGTAGAATCCCTGGAACCCTTAACTGAGCAGTGAAGGTCAGTGTCTCAGAGCCTGAAGATGAACAGGACCAGAGAGAGAGGTGGGCAGGCAGGCACAAGGTTATGTCTTCCTCAGACTCGGAACCCTGGATTAGAAGAAAGTAAAAAGAAAGATCAGTGAGAAATCTCCCCCTCCCCCAATCCTTGAGAAACCTCCTGATGAGCCTATATCTTCTCAGTCCTCCCTGAGAGGCCCGAGACCTGTACACCAACACTCGTTCCCAAACACTACAAACCTCAGTTTGACTCTTAAGATAAAGGAACAGAACCAAAAGGCCACCAAGGGGTTAAGGAGCAGTGGCTGGTGGTACCAAGGGAGAGGAAGGGGGCTAGAAGCACTTAGAGTTAAAAGGATGGGCGAGGACCAAAGGACAGTGGCAGAAATTAGCAAAGTTTGGGGTGCTAGAAGCTCCAGCTCCCTTCTCTCTGAGTTTAGGGCAGAAGGGGAGGGGCATTTAAGTGACTCTGAAGAGGAAATAGTGGTTTTTTGTTCTCACAAACAAGGTCTCCACCCTGTCCCTGCGTTTTTTCTTACCTTGCCCTGAATGCTAGAGTTTCTTTAAGAACAGGGGAGCCCTGGACCACTGAGGTCCTAGGAGACTAACTGACAGGTTGGCCCTCAGGAAAGACTTTCTACAATGAGAAATGTTTTCCCCCTCTGCTGCGCTGTTCCTCCTGATTTCCCTCCAGTGAAATCCAATCCCTCCCAGAAGCCAGTTAGCAGTTCCTTTATTACCTGACCTTGAGATCCTTCCTGAAGGCTGTGTACATTCTGTTTATCTGTGTCCTGTATCACTGCACTCCTGTGTGTACACCTCTGTTTGCACATGTGTGGCATGGCCATATCTCCACGTGTGTCCAATACAGATCATCTGTGTACAGGTTGTGGGTACATGTGCCAGGTATCTTCTGTCCCATGAGGAATATTTTCCCCACCGTCCACATGTCCTATCTGCCACTCTGCTCTGCCTCACACTCTATAGGGCCCAGGCTCCCCTCCAGCTGTGACCTGTTCTCCCCTCCCTCCTCACCAATTCCATCCTCAAGCTTCGTCAGTCAACCAGACACAAGGAACTTTCCAATAGTACTAGTGTCCAGGGAAGAACTTCCTCCCTTCTCACTACTGCCAGCCAGGGTAGGACACATCTGGGTTTCTTCTTAGACTCACTTGCATTTCCCCAGTCCTATAGTACAGACAACCTCAAAGATTCCAAAAAGGGGAGTTTCATAAATACGACACTTTAACATGAACAGGAATCTCCCTTTCTTCCAGGCCAGGAACACTGATGCTTTGGCACCCCAGACTGATTTAAAAACAAGAGATAGGCCGGGCGTGGTGGCTCACGCCTATAATCCCAGCACTTTGGGAGGCCAAGGCGGGCGGATCACCTGAGGTCAGGAGTTTGAGACCAGCATGGCCAACATGGTGAAACCTCATCTCTGCTAAAAATATAAAAGATTAGCTGGGTGTGGTGGCGCATGCATGTAATCCCAGCTACTTGGGAGGCTGAGGCAGGAGAATTGCTTGAACCCGAGGTTGCAGTGAGCCAAGATCATGCCATTGCACTCCAGCCTGGGCAACAACAGCGAAACTCCACCTCAAAAAAACAAAACAAAACAAAAAAACAAGATAGCAGGGTGTAGTAGCATGCGCCTGTCATCCCAGGTACTGGGGAGGCTGAGGCAGGAGGATCACTTGAGCCCAATAGTTGGAGGCTACAGTGAGCCATGTTTGCACCACTGCACTCCAGCCTGGGTGACAGGGCAAGACCCTGTCTCAAATACAAAAAAAAAAAAAAAAAACAACAACACACATACACACATAAAGAGAGGTTTTTTAACAGCCTTGAGATGAGATCACACAAACACTCAAATGCAGCGTCTAGGGGAAGGGAGAACCCAGGAGGCTAGGCTTTCTCTTACTTCCCTTCTCACCACTGGAAGGGAGGAGTAACCAGAAGGAACGGAAGCTAAAACACAGCTGTCCAGAGAGGAGAGCTGTGGTCAGTGGGACGTCAGTGAGTCAGTCATAGGGTTTATCCTGATGGTGGTGGTGGCAGGTGGTAAGGGTTGGGGGAAAATGAAGAATTAGAGGAAACCCCCAACACCAGCAGGCAGGCTGTACTGTGACTGGACTCTCCCTCAACATCTCCTGCCCTGCTCAAAGCTGAGGGACAGAGGTGGATAGTGCTGGGAGCGAAGAGGAGAAGAGAGGGGGAGGAGGAGAGAGGGAAAGGGGCAGTGCAGAGAACAAGGCCATTTCTGTTTCTTTTCCAGGGACCTGACCAGAGCTGGGTGGAGGGAAAGTGTGTGTGTGGGACTTGGCATGAAATGACCAATGATGACGAGATGTGACCAGGAAATTCCATTCCCTAGGACATTAGGGTCTCTGAAACTTGAGGGTGGGGTCAGAGTGTGAAGACAGGTCAGGGTGAATGTGATGGTAGCGCAGGGAAGGGGGGATGGGAACAAAGCCAAAAAAGGAAGTAAGAGCCACTGGCGGCCACTCTTCTTTAAAGCAGCCAGAAGAGAGTGGGTTGAGGAAAAATGAAGTCCTAAGCTGGTCAGCCCAGGCGGAAGAGCCACCGAATCCAACCCCACAGTGGGTAGGGAAGGGGCTGAGAAATCAACAGGAGGGATGAGGATTAGACCGCATAAGGCCACGTCCTTGGTGCTCAGAACTCGGCCTCTCTGAGTTCCAAATGGCAAGAGTGAAATATGGAACCGGGAAAGCCACCCCCCACCCCCACCAAGATCACACTAGGACTTGAGGGTCTCAAAGCTGTTGGGAGGTGAGCAGAAGGGTTAGGAAAGAGGTGCCAGGGAGGAAGGATGTACAGGCTAGTTCTCTGGTCCCATTCGGGCCCCAAACCGGTTCACCCGGTCCCACCGCCTCTGGCCCTAAGGCCTCCAACCCGCGGCCTGACAAGCCCTCACATGAAGCAGCTGGAGAGAAAGAAAGAATCGAGAGAATGGAATGGGCAATTCTGGCTAGAAGCCCGGGGCAGCAGCTGGTCCCTGTGTGCAGACCCCTAGACATGGAGGGCTGCGGAGGGGCTCTGGAGAAGTGGAGTGGACTCCATATTTCAGCCAAGTGACAGGCCCAGCCCCAACCTTCCCCTTCCCCAGGAAAGGTCTTCTGGGGGCTTAAGAGGAAAGAGGGCTAGGCCCTAAGCCTCCCCTCCCCAAATATATTCAATCACTCAGATTCCATATCTGTCTCCCCCTACTACCCAACTCTACCCAGAAGTTCTCTGCTCTTCCCAACCCTTAACCGGATTGGGACCTCCCAGGGAATCTTTCGGACCCTCTCCTTCCCACCCCCACCCGAACATTCCAGTTCCTTCTTTTCCTTCTACTCTTCAGCGGCCTCAGCCTGCGCACCCCAGGAGGGTGGATGAGGACGGCCACCCCGGGCGCGCACCCCGTTCCCAACGCCCCAGCATCTCTGCAGCCCAAGACATCCGCCTTCCCCACACCCCGCATCCGGTGTGTCTCCGCCTGGCCCTGCCGGCGCGGCGGGCGGGCTGGGGGACCAACTGCACGGCCTCACCTGCTCTTCTCCGGTATCCAGACGTTCAGCTACAGCTGGCGGGGGTGAGGGGCTCTGCTCCGTGGCCGCCAGTGTGGGCTTCCCGGGCTAGCTCTGCGGCCCGGTGGGGGAGCCCAGGACGAGCCGGCAGAGGTGGGGCCGGCTGAGGGCGGAAGCGGCGGCGACGCGATTACGAAACCCGTCCGGCTCGGAGCCTAGCGCACAGCTCCCCTCTGGACTGCGGAGGCACTGCACTGTGCGAGGCGTGGGAGGGTGCCTCTGCAGCCCCCCAAGGCCGCCGCCCCTGAGGGGAGAACCGGAGAATGCGGACACGTAGATGAGGGCCTGGTACCCAAGCTGGGGCCCCTGAAATCTCAAGTTCCCTTTGCGCGCCAGGCATTTCGGGGCAAAACGAAGCGGAGCCCCCCAAACCCCGAGACCTAACCAAGTTCAGAGATTCGCAGAAGCACGCCCCCCCACCCCAAATCTCTTCTGTGCTCTACCCAAAATGGAATAGGACTAGGTTTATTTACCCATTGTGAGGGTAGAGAGGCGAGTCGGGAGGATCAGGGATTGGGAGAACGGGTGGAAAAATATGATTCTTAAAAATACCTTGTAACCTGAAGTCCTTAAATTGTAGAAGAGAGGAACACTACTTTCCATTGTAGTCTAGAGTTAAGATTTCAAGTCCATAAATTAGAGGACCTAAAATTAGAGGGCAATTAACTGCTCATTCATTGCGCCCCTAGTCAGCACGGGGATGCTGGAGGAGATCGGGAATAATAGCGCAGACCAATGAGCCTACGGAGACGCTTTAATCGTCTCTTTCCCTCAAGTGTTCTGGAACCTATCATTTGAATTAGCCGAGTCAGGCAGGAGGGGGCGGGGAAATCCTTCCGCCCTTCTTAGGAGGGGCTGCATTGCAGGGGGAGAGCTAACTGACAGACTCAGTCACTGAAGAGGGAAAAGGAGTGAGAAGACAAAGCCGTCAAAGCCCCAACAGCTTTGTATTTCTCCAGCCCGGCACAGATCCCGGAGCCCCCGAGGCACTCCCTCCATCTTTGGAACACGCCAGTAATTGATTGATAACAGGTAAACCAAACTGAGGGAGGGGGGCAGGGGGCTGCAAAGATAGAAGAGCGGCTGCTTATGGTTAGATTGAAAGACCCCACATAAGGTGGGGGACAGCTGAAGAGGAGAGAAGGGGGCGCTATGAACAATGGGTAGTTATTTCTTCACAGCATCCATGCCTTGTTACCTTGTACAGACCATTAATTTCTAACAATTTACATGTAGTTATTTCTCAGCACCTACCTCCTTATTTCAGATATCCTTTTCTGTAATTTATTGTCCTGTGTATTTAATATATTCAGTCTACTTCCTTTTCAAACCATAATTTGTTCTACCAGCTATTTGATGAATCTTTAGTCCTACTGTATCTCTCTGCCCTCTACTTCCCTATACTTGCAATTTTTTTCCGTAGTGTTCTATGTTTCTCTGTAGGAGGGAGTTTGGGAGGGGGTTATATGGGATAATGTTCAGTGTAATCCTGACCTTTCTTTGGACCATCTCTTTCACTCCACCTCAAATCTTTGCTCCAAAGAAAGAGGCAGCCTGGGGTAGGAAAGGTGGGGGCCTCTGTGTTGGAGAACTGCCTGATTCCATAGTGAAATCAGTATAGCCCACAGGAGCTAGCTATGGGGACAGATTCTGGAAAAGAATGATTATTTGCAGCTCAGTGGAATTGGTGGGGGAATGCTAATAGGAAAATCCAAGTTCTGACTGAGGCACACATTATGAGATGCCAGAGAGCTTCCACTCCCCTTTACCACCACCACCACCTTGTCTTTCCCCATTCCCCATGGTGGCAGCATGACACAGCAAGGCCCTGTTGAGTAGGCCTTGGATGCCCACAAAGGGTCTGGACAAAGGATATTTGGGTGTGTCTGTGTGCCTCCGAGAGAGATGTATCTTTCTAATCTATATATTTGCTAATCATGTATATCTAAGAACAGAGTGATAATTAGAAATTGCCTTTACCTAAAATACCTGGATAATTTAAAATGAAGGTTAGTGGGAAGCATTTATTGAACATATGTTGTGGTACAAGGCACTGTCGAAACCCTTTAAGTAAATGATACCGTTTAACATAATGATAGATGTAAAGATAGATGAAGTAGGGGTGGAGAGCATTTGTGGAGGGGAAGGGGAAGCTAGCCAAAAAAGGAACCTTTTGCAAAATTTGGAGTATTTGATAATTAAATCCATACTGTATTAAATCAAAAATGTCATTACTATTTACATTAGTGAATAGTATTTTAACTTCAATTTTCTGTGTAGTCTTACTTTATGTTCTTGACTTGATTTTAATGCCACATATGCTTGCATGCATGTCTTTCTTGAATATATTTTGTACCCTGTGTACATGTCTCTGGGTCAATGACATAGAGATTTTAGGCCTTTTGAGTTAATGTTTCATAAAATTTCCTTTAGCTTTTTAAATTGCAAGATAGCTCTACCAAACACTCAGGGACTATTTGAGCAGTTTTTTATACATAGTCTGGTTGTAAGAAAAGGAGTCAATTTGTCAAAGAGCTTTTTCTTTTTCTCAGATTCTAGCTTGCTCCCTACTGCCCTTTGCTTTTCCCCATTCAGATCACAATTATAGGAACAATCACCTAACCTACGGAATATCTATTCTTCAGCAACTAAGAATTATTTTAAGTTTTGGGAATACTGGTATAGGTTTATATAAAACTGTTGGCAACTATCCATGTACAACACAAAAAGGGATCAGATTGGGAATTATGAGACCTGGATTCTATAGAAACTGGCTGGAAGTCTTCCCATTAATTTCTAAGATGTCTTCTAGTTTTAAAATTCTGTAATTTTTCCTCCCATGATTCTTTTTTTTTTTTTTTTTTTTTTAGTTGGAGTCTCGCTCTGTCGCCCAGGCTGGAGTGCATTGGTGCGATCTTGGCTCACTGCAACCTCTGCCTCCCGGGTTCAAGCGATTCTCCTGCCTCAGCCCTCCGAGTAGCTGGGATTACAGGCACCTGCCACCGTGCCCAGCTAATTTTTGTATTTTTAGTAGAGACGGGGTTTCACTATCTTGGCCAGGCTGGTCTTAAACTCCTGACCTTGTGATCCACCCACCTCGGCCTCCCAAAGTGCTGCGATTACAGGTGTGTGCCATTGCACCCAGCCCCATGATTCTATTTTTCAAAGAGCCTATAATGTGCCTTGCATTATACTAAGCTCGTTCTGGAGAAGACTTGTCAGGGAGGAGAGAGAAAACAACCCAGCTAGCTGGGGAAATAACTAGTAACAGTAAGAATCCCTGTAGCCACAAGTCCGTAACAGTACTGACTCCTAGGGTATGCTTCTTAGGATCTCTGTAGTCCCAGATTTAAGCAGGGGGAGGTTGGTTAATGGATACAACCATTTTTTTTTTTTTTAGCTCTCTTTCTGTGCACATCTCAGCAAAGTACTATGGAGATTATCAGAGTTGAATATCATAGGATGATGACCTCACCTTTCCAACATGCTCCCCCACCCTGCTCCAATCCCTGCATCACCCTTCTTCTAAGCAGCTTCTCTGCTGAGTAATGCTCAGTTCCCAGGGTTTATTTTGGAACTTAAACTAAGAAGGAAAAGAACAACGCAGAATTCACTTTTAACATTAAAAACATCCTAGCCTACCCACTCACCATTCCTGAAGCCCCCACACTCTCACACATCACTGTGTTCTAGATTAACACTTTCTTTTTCTGCCTTGGTACAGTCATTTCACACTATACTGGAACATTTTGGAACCATTTAAGGCCATCACTTAGGAGTCTCTGACCTGGTGAGACCCAATAGGGTGTGTTGGAGAAAGGCCTTTTGAAACTTGGGGTTGTTTTTGGAGGCGGTAGAATGTTCTTTCTGCTCCTTTGGGAACATTTCAACTAATGCTTTTTTTTTTTTTTTTTTTGCGACAGAGTCTTGCTCTTTCACCCAGGCTGCAGTGCAGTGGTGCTATCTCAGCTCACTGCAAGCTCCGCCTCCCAGGTTCACATAATTCTCCTGCCCCAGCCTCCCGAGTAGCTGGGACTACAGGCACCCCGCCACCACTAATTTTTTTTATTTTTAGTAGAGATGGGGTTTCACCGTGTTAGCCAGGATGGTCTCGATCTCCTGACCTCGTGATCCGCCCGCCTCGGCCTCCCAAAGTGCTGGGATTACAGGCGTGAGCCACCGCACCCGGCCACAACTAATGTTTCTTGACCCTTGGCTAGTAAGTAGCAGGATGGAGGCTGTAGGCAGCTGTAATAGTCATATAATATCAGGCACGGCTTGGGTAGAATGAGTAGAGAAAGTGATAGATCCATTAATGCACAGAAGAGTATCTGATTCTGTTAAGAGACCTTCTTCCAATCTGAACTTTACTTTAAATCCAAATGGATTTCCAATCCATTTGCTCTCATTATCATCAGTATACTCCAGCATTGGGATCAGAGAAAAGAGACCCCTATTACAGCATAGAAAAGTTACTTATTTATTATTACTTTTTTTTGAGATGGAGTTTCACTCTTGTTGCCCAGGCTGGAGTGCAATGGCGAGATCTTGCCTCGCTGCAACCTCCGTCTCCCAGGTTCAAGCAATTTTCCTGCCTCAGCCTCCCAAATAACTGGGATGACAGGCATGCGCCACTTCACCTGGCTAATTTTGTATTTTTAATAGAGACAGGATTTCACCATGTTGGTTGGGCTGGTCTTGAACTTCTCACCTCCTGATCTGCCTGCCTCTGCCTCCCAAAGTGCTAGGATTATAGGCGTGAGCCACTGCGCCTGGCCAGGAAAGTTCTTCTAGCACCTGGGTTTTGTTCTGAAGGAGAGTAGGCTAGAGAGAAATGGATTGTTAAGGCTTACCTGTGGGCTAATATATGGGAATGGCAAGGTATTAAATAGTGAGGGAAAGTTAATCAGCAGCCTTGAATGTCTTTGTGTAGAAAGCCCAGCACTCGTGTACAGAGAAGGTAGACTGGTTTTTATCCTTGGGGAATCTCCTAGGTATGGGGACAGATTCTGGAAAAGAATGATTATTTGCAGCTCAGTGGAATTGGTGGGGGAATGCTAATAGGAAAATCCAAGCTCTGACTGAGGCACACATTATGAGATGCCAGAGAGCCAGAGAGCTTCCGCTCCTCTCTACCACCACCTTGTCCTTCCCCCTTCCCCGTAGTGGCAGCATGACACAGCAAGGCCCTGTTGAGTAGGCCTTGGATGCCCACAAAGGGTCTGGACAAAGGATATTTGGGTGTGTCTGTGTGGCTCCAAGAGATGTATCTTTCTAATCTATATATTTGCTAATCATGTATCTCTAAGAACAGAGTGAAAATTAGAAATTGCCTTTGCCTAAAATACCTGGATAATTTAAAATGAAGGATAGTAGGAAGCATTTATTGAACATATATTGTGGTACAAGGCACTGTCGAAACCATTTAAGTAAATGATACCATTTAAGATAATAATATATGTAAAAATAGATGAAGTAGGGATGGAGAGCATTTGTGGAGGGGAAGGGGAAGCTAGCCAAAAAAGGAACCTTTTGCAAAATTTGGAGTATTTGATAATTAAATTTATACATTAAATCAAAAATTTCTTTACTATTTACATTAGTGAATAGTATTTTAACTTCAATTTTCTGTGTAGTCTTACTTTATGTTCTTGACTTGATTTTAATGCCACATATGCTTGCATGCATGTCTTTCTTGAATATATTTTGTACCCTGTGTACATGTCTCTGGGTCAATGACATAGAGATTTTAGGCCTTTTGAGTTAATATTTCATAAAATTTCCTTTAGCTTTTTAAATTGCAAGATAGCTCTACCAAACACTCAGGGACTGTTTGAGCAGTTTTTTATACATAGTCTGGTTGTAAGAAAAGGAGTCAGTTTGTCAAAGAGCTTTTTCTTTTTCTCAGATTCTAGCTTGCTCTCTACTGCCCTTTGCGTTTCTCCATTCAGAAAGCAATAACACCATCCCTATACATAAAATACAGTAACAGTGATCTATAATCCCAAACTGATGGAGTTAGGTAAAACTCTACAGGGTGTTGGGGGAGATGCTAGAGGATATAGAGTAGATGAAGCTGAGTAAGTTTAAGGAAGTTATCTGGAAGAGGTGAGTTTATAGTAGGGTTTAGAAGGCAAGAAGGAAAACAGAAAGCAGAAAAATCATGGAAGGCCTTTTCACACATACTATGAGCTATTAAACCAAAGTCAAGAGGAGGAAGTCAAGTATTTTTAAGTATAATAGGAGTTTGGGCTAGGGGAATGGGGGTTCCTCTATAGACGTGGAGTTTTTTTTTGTTTTTGAGACAGGGTCTCACTCTATTCCCCAGGCTGGAGTGCAGTGGCACAATCTCAGCCCACTGGAACCTCTGCTTCCTAGGCTCAAGTGATTCTCCCACTCAGCCTCCCAAGTAGCTGGGACTACAGGCGTGCACCACCAGGCCCGGCTAATTTTCTGTATTTTTTGTAGACGGAGTTTCACCATGTTGCCCAGGCAGGTCTGGAACTCCTGGTCTCAAGCCATCTGCCTGCCTTAGCCTCCCAAAGTGCTGGGAATACAGGTGTGAGCCACTGAGCTCTTGAATGGAGTCCTGAAATGTGGAAAGTTTTTTTTTTTTTGACAGAATCTTGCTCTGTTGCTCAGGTTGGAAGGCTCACTGCAACCTCACCCTGCTGAATTCCAGCAATTCTTGTGCCTCAGCCTCCCTAGTAGCTGGAACTACAGGCATGAGCCACCATGCCTGGCTAATTTTTTGTATTTTTAGTAGAGGCAGGGTTTCCCCATGTTGGACAGGCTGGTCTTGAACTCCTGGCCTCAAGTGATCCACCCACTCTGCCTCCCAAAGTTCTGAGATCACACGCATGAGCCACCGCACCTGGCTGAAACATGGAAAGTATTTTAAGGTGGAGAATGGAGAGAGTTAAGCAAGACAGGAATGAGCATAACTCTAACAGAGGCTATACCACCGCTGGGAAGAATGGGCTAGGTTTTGGAAGGCCTTGAAAATCAGACCCAAGATCAATTTGATGCAATAGATGGTGAATAAGTCATTCCAAATGGGAAGAAGTTTAGAAAATAGTAGAAATTCATAATAAAGGGTTTCTGAAGCTTGTCCAAGGGAACTTGGATTATCTCCAGAGGTAATTGGGGATGTTGAGCTTCTTTTTCTTTCCTCCTCAAATTCCTTTTTACTGGTGGGCTTGGAAGATATACAATTTTCTAAAAAGAAATTCCTTTTTACCAGTATGTGGAGTATCTAAGCAAGGAAAGGCCATGGACCACAAAGAAGTTGCTGTAGCATGAAAACTGACAAGTGGTTTCTTTCTAGGAAGCTATGAGGGACCCTGTGAGTAGCCAGTACAGCTCCTTTCTTTTCTGGAGGATGCCCATCCCAGAACTGGATCTGTCGGAGCTGGAAGGCCTGGGTCTGTCAGATACAGCCACCTACAAGATAAAAGACAGCAGCGTTGGCAAAATGATCGGGCCAGCAACTGCAGCAGACCAGGAGAAAAACCCTGAAGGTGATGGCCTCCTTGAGTACAGCACCTTCAACTTCTGGAGAGCTCCCATTGCCAGCATCCACTCCTTCGAACTGGACTTGCTCTAAGGCCAAGACTTCTCTCTCCCACCACCTTGCCCTCATTGTCTTCCCTCTCAAGCCCCTTCCTTTCCACTCCTTTCCCATTTTAATCTTCTCTCTCTATTGTGTTGGTGGTGCTGATGAATCTGCCAGAGTTGAGTTCTATGTATTTATTTATCTGTCTACCCCATTTCTCTCAAAAGCCCTCAAGTCACAAAGTAAATGGTTCAAGCAGTGGAGTACTGGGTCACAGGGATTCCTCCTTCCCCCCCAAATATTAACTCCAGAAACTAGGCCTGATTGGGGACACCTGAAAGTAGTATAGTAGTGCAAAATGGAAGACTGATTTTTGACTGTATTTTAATCAGCTTCAGAGATTCTTTAAACCTTCCTAATTTCCTGCTCTAGGCCGGTAAATACAAATATTTCTTTAAGGGGTGATGAAAACTTCGGAAGTTTTAATCTGAAGTTATCTGCTATGAAAGGCTAAAGTGATTAAGTCTCATGCTTTTTTTTTTTTTGATCCTGCTCTTTCTTATATTCTTTTTCTTCCTCAGAGAAATCAGGAAGGTAGTTGGAGGTATAAAACAGGAGGAAATATTATGGAAAATGAAAATAGGGAAAATAACTGAATCATTTTAGAAGCAGCTAATTTCTTTTCTCAAGAGTATCCCTTCTTCAACCCTACTCACTTTACAGCTTTGCTCCGGTGGGTTGAAAACTCTAGCTAAAGAAAGTTATCAAATCTTAATATGCATTCCTACTATTATTATAGTTTTTAAGGTTTCAATACAATCTTCTGAATGGCGTAAGTCCTTAGTATTTTAGCCTTACCTCCTGCATTTGCAATATGTAAAACTAATCAGTGGGCACAGTTCAGCTACATTGAGACCCTGAAATGAACAATTACATTCTGACTCTGCATCTTGTCCCCAATCCTTCCAAAATTATTGTTGCTGATTTGTGCTGCCATTTAACTCATTTATTTAATAAAAACATTCAATCCCAGGACTGGAGTCTAGTTTTCTCTCTCTTCACAAGGGAAGCCATAGAAATCTGAGAAATTAGCCTTGCTTTCACACTCAGCTTATACATCTTTTTATTTTTTATTTTTTGAGACAGGGTCCTGCTCTGTCACCCAGGTTGGAGTGCAGCACCGCAATCACTGCTCACTGCAACCTCCACCCACCGGGGTCAAGGGGGCCTCCCACCTCAGCCTCCCAAGCAGCTGGGATTACAGGGGCCTGCCACCAGGCCCGGCTAATTTTTGTATTTTTCATAGAGATGGGGTTTCACCATATTGCCAGGCTGGTCTCGAACTCCTGACCTCAGGTGATCTGCCCGCCTTAGCCTCCCAAAGTGCTGGGATTTACAGGCGTGAGCCACTGAGCCCGGCCTCATTTTATCTTTCTATAATAATATTCAACTTAGAGGAAGAATGATTTGAATAGCATTTAGACATTAAATGGTGAACGTCGCATTGAACAGATAAATAATGAAAGGGCAAAATCAACTTAAAATTAGAAAAGTAGGGAGACAGCTACAACCACTCTTCTGCTTGCCCACTGACTACCAACATATTTCAGGTAATAATTCTCCTAGGTGCCTAACAAGATAAACGAATTCACTCAAATACGTTATCTGCTTAATTTCTGGTTTTTGTGTGCCTACTATAGGAAAGCACTGAGCCAAAAGAATGTAAACGGGAATGAGACAAGACTCCAACTCTCAAGAGAAACTGTAAATACCAATATGGATAGGACAGCATTGGGCAGTGTATCATAAATAAGGATGATCTAGAGAAGTCCCCAAGAGAGAGAAAAAAAGGCAAATCCTCCCTCTAGGCCATGAAAACCCCACATCTAAAGACCGTCCCAATCTAACGGAGAATGGGGCCAGGAAGGATAAGCAGTGCGTCCTTTTCTATTTTTACTGAGTTTTGAAAGGCCCCTTCAGAGTCCTTCAGTCATGGCAATTGGTGGGTGGGGACAGGGATCAACTGGTAAATAAAATGACTAAATGGATTTGCAAACTCATGTTCCATCCTCTTGCAGGCCTCCAAAAAGAAATGACTCAGGCCGGGCGCGGTGGCTCACGCCTGTAATCCCAGCACTTTGGGAGGCCGAGGCGGGCGAATCGCTTTAGGTCAGGAGTTCGAGACCCGCCTGGCCAACACGGTGAAACGCCGTCTCTACTAAAAATACAAAAATTAGCCCAGCGTGGGGAGAGGCTGAGGCAGGTCAATCACTTGAACCCGGGAGGCGGAGGTTGCAGTGAGCCGAGATGGCGTCACTGCACTCCAGCCTGGGCGACGGACTAAACGAGACTCCGTCTCAAAAAAAAATAATAAAGAAAGAAAAGAAATGACTCAGTTATTTGTTTCACTGTTTGCACGGACAGCTTGGCTCTGGGGTCCTTACATTCGGGCTGTAACTGGAAAAATGTGTCCATCAGGCACCAGAACCCAATTCACAAACAAAGCCAGGAACGTCCCAAACAGCTGCAGCCGAGGTTTGGGATAAGGAAGTGAGGCTTTCCTGTCAACCTAAACCTGGCCGCTCAGGACCCGGAAGAAGCAGCCGAGAGTTAAGACGCAAACTGCAGGACTGATGCACGATCCGAGTCTCCCTCAGCGGTTCTCCAGGTTCTTGGCGCCAACACGAGCCCCGGGCTCCGTTCCCTGCTGGAACTATTCAGACGCGCAAGACACGTAACCAGCAGTCCTCCGCCCCGTTAAATAGTCCTGCCTAGGATGCCTCGGTGACGCACTTTTCCACCTCAGAAGTCCCTCAGCAGATATGCGATGAGCCTCGGGGATGCATCATCTTTCTGTTCGAATGGGAGTATGGGTTTTCTGATCATTTTCCCTTCACAGATTCCTCCGCCAGAAATCTTACTCGCGGCGTCTTCATTTCCGGGTCCGCCATTTCCTTGCCTCTGTTTCTCCACGAGGGGGGGTTAAAGGCCCCCAAAACATGCACACATGAAAAGGGCAAAAAGTAACCGTCCTTGACAGGCAGTCTTAACTAGAGAAGGAAACGGGACTAAACTGGCGGGCTCCGTGGAAGCGCGGCCGGCAGCGTCCCGGACGAGGAGGTGAGGGGAAAGAAGAGATGTGTGGACTCCGGGGGGCGTCAGGGCTGGAAAGGAGAGTGCCGTGAGAAGTCACACCGCTTCCCAGCCCAGCCTCGGACTTCTGGGTGCGGACCGCGCGGCTCCCCGTCACCGAAGCGGGGGCAGCTGGGGGAGGGGGACGGAGAGGAAGGGGATGCTGTCGGGAGGAAGGGGAGGGGACTGGAAGGAGGTGAAGAAGGGGGTGGGTGTAAGACCTGGGGCTGGGGAGCTGGACCAAGGGAAGCCCAGGCCGCGGAGGTGACCACTAGGGGGCGAGGTGGTGCCGGAGCCGAGGCCTGTCGCCAGAGGCTGAGTTTGGCTCCCTGCCCCAAATTGGTTCCCATCTTTCAGACAGACATTGGTGTGAGGAACTGTAGGGTTTATGATAGAGAGGGAAACGGCGACCCTCATTCTCTGACCCTAATAATGACCTGAAAGATAACTAGTGAACTCGGTAATCTGAACGAGAGCAGTATGGGTCCCGCCTCTGCTTTTTTGCTTTTTTTTAAGACTGAGTCTCGCTCTGTCACCCAGGCTAGAGGGAGTGGCGCGATCTCGGCTTACTGCAACCTCCAGCTCACTGCAGCCTCCGCCTCCCGGGTTCAAGTGATTCTCCTGCCTCAGCCTCCCGAGTAGCTGGGATTACAGGCGTGTGCCACCGTGCACAGCTAATTTTTGTATATTTTTAATAGAGACAGGGTTTCACCATGTTAGCCAGGCTGGTCTCGAACCCCTCACCTTAGGTGATCCGCCCACCTTGGCCTTCCAAAGTGCTGGGATTACAGGCGTGAGCCACGCTCCCGGCCTCGACTCCGCTTCTTTCACAGTTGTTTGTACAGCTGGCCGCCCAGTGGGGACTTGAGCAATACTAAAAGAAACATAGATTCTTCCACTGCAATTCTCCTTTCCGTTGGCTGTCTCCTGTTCTCACATACTTCCTTGAACCAGAGGTCATCCCATTCCTCTCCCTTTTCCCGAAAGGGCTTTCTCTCTAGAGGGTCCCCCCACCCCATTGTCTTTGGAAAAGGACAATCTATGGCTTACTATCAACAATGTAACAAAATTTTGGCCATCCATTCATTTAATCACTTGGTCCACCCAATCCAGTAGAGATGTTCTTAGACATGTATTTTCACACCTGCTTTGATGACAGTAAGGACAAAAAACCCATCCAAATTCTTAAATAAAGTAATTAATTACCCTTGGATAATAGAATACTTTGTTGTCAAGAGCTGAAGCACTTCATGAATTATTAAAACACACACTTATTGAAAGGTTTTGGCCGGGCGCAGTGGCTCACGCCTGTAATCCCAGCATTTTGGGAAGCTGATGTGGGAGGATCCCTTGAGCCCTGGAGTTCTAGACCAGCCTGGGCAAAATAGGGAGACCCCTGTCTGTGCAGAGAAAAAAAGAAAAAAAAAATTTTAATCATTTGGGCGTGGTAGTGCCCACTGGTGGTCCCAGCTACTCGGGAAGCCGAGGTGGGAGGATCGCTTGAGCCCAGGAGGTCGAGGCTGCAGTGAGCTGTGATTGCGCCACTGCACTCCAGCCTGGACCACAGAGTGAGGCCCTGTCTCTTTAACAAACAAACAGGCTGGGCGTGGAGGCTCTCGTCTGTAATCCCAGCACTTTGGGAGGCCGAGGAGGGTGGATCACCTGAGGTCAGGAGTTCAAGACCAGGCTGGCTAACATGGTGAAACCCCATTTCTACTAAAAATACAAAAAATTAGCACAGTGTGGTGGCACATGCCTGTAATCCCAGCTACCCAGGAGGCTGAGGCAAGAGAATGGCTTGAACCCGGCAGGCGGAGGTTGCAGTGTGCCGAGATCATACCATTGTACTCCAGCTTGGGCAACAAGAGCAAAACTCCATCTCAAACAAACAAACAAACATACTTTATCCAATCCCCTATTGATATATATTTAGGTTCTTTTCAATCTTTTTATTTATTTTTATTTTTAGAGACAGGGTCTTGCTCAGTACTTTATTCCATCCCCTACTGACATATGTAGGTTCTTTTCCATCTTTTTTTATTTTTTATTTATTTTTATTTTTAGAGACAGGGTCTTGCTCAGTCACCCAGGCTGGAGTGCAGTGATCATAGTTCATCGCAGCCTCAAACTCCTGGGCTCAAGCGATCCTCCCGCCTTAGCCTCCTGAATAGCTAGGACTACAGGTGTGGGCCACCACACCCTGCTAATTTTTTTTATTTTTGTATTTTTGTAGAGACAGAGTCCCTCTGTGTTGTCCCAGCTGGGCTCGAATTCCTGGCTTCAAGTGATCCTCCTGCTTTGGCTTCCCAAAGCACTGGGATTTATTTTATTCATCTCCAAAATCCTAGAAGGCAAGTGAGACAGATTTTGTTTCCTCAGTTTATGTATAGGGAAAGTGGAGGTACAGCCAGCAAGGGAGAATATTGTTAGTTGTTGGGAGTCAAGGAGTCAGAAGTGCCCAGACTGTTTTCTGGTGTATCAGGCTTCATCTCTTGTCTGGTCGATGGGCCACCAGGCAAGTATTGACCACCTGCCGGGAACAGCATTGACAAGGTACTGGGAGAATGGCACATAGTTCCCCTCAAAATGCTATGGGTTTTTTTGTTTGTTTTTTGTTGTTTTGTTTTAAGTGAAAGCAAGTCGATTGAGAAAGTAAAGGAAGGCTGGGCACAGTGGCTCATGCCTGTAATCCCAGCACTTTGGGAGGCTGAGGCGGGCAGATCACGAGGTCAGCAGTTCGAGACCAGCCTGGCCAACATGGTGAAACCCTGTTTCTAATAAAAATACAAAAATTAGCTGGGCATGGTGGCGGGCATCTGTAGTCCAGCTACTCGGGAGGCTGAGGCGGGAGAATCACTTGAACCCGGGAGGCGGAGGCTGCAGTGAGCCAAGATCACGCCACTGTACTCCAGCCTGGTGACAAAGGAGTCTCTGGCTAAAAAAGAAAGTAAAAGAATAAAGAACGGCTACTCCATGGGCAGTATTTTTATGGTGATTATATGCTAAACATGCCTCCTCTTTTTTTTTTTTTTTTTTTTTTTTTTTTGAGATGGAGTCTCAGAGTCTCCCTCTGTCGCCCAGGCTGGAGTGCAGTGGCGTGATCGCAGCTCACTGCAAGCTCCGCCTCCTGGGTTCACGCCATTCTCCTGCCTCAGCCTCCTGAGCAGCTGGGATTACAGGCGCCCGCCACCAAGCCCGGCTAATTTTTTTTGTCTGTATTTTTAGTAGAGACGGAGTTTCACTGTGTTAGCCAGAATGGTCTCGATCTCCTGACCTCATGAGGTGCCGGCCTCAGCCTCCCAAAGTGCTGGGGACTTTTGTAAACTGCCATGGCATCGCACTGGTGGGAGTGTAGCAGAGAGGACAACCAGAGGTTACTCTTGTCCTCTTGTCACCAAAAGCATCTTGCTTTTGGTGGCGTTTTAGCCAGCTTCTTTACTGTGGCCTGTTTTATCAGCAAGGTCTTTATGATCTGTATCTCGTGCTGACCTCCTATCTCATCCTGTGACTAAGAATGCCTTAACTGGCTGGGCACGGTGGCTCACACCACTTTGAGAGGCCAAGGTGGGTGGATCACTTGAGGTCAGGAGTTCGAGACCAGCCTGGCCAACATGGTGAAACCCTGTCTCTACTAAAAATACAAAAATTAGCCAGACAGTAGTGGCACGTGCCTGTAATCCCAGCTACTCGGGAGGGTGAGGCAGGAGAATTGCTTGAGCATTAGAGACAGAGGTTGTGGTGAGCCGAGATCATGCCACTGCACTACAGTCTGGGCAACAGTGTGAGACAGTCTCAAAAAACAAAACAAGGGCCGGGTGCGGTGGCTCATGCCTGTAATCCCAGCCCTTTGGGAGGCTGCGGCGGGCAGAGGTCAGGATATTGAGACAATCCTGGCTCACAGAGTGAAACTCCATCTGTACTAAAAATACAAAAAACTGGCCGGGCATGGTGGCTCACGCCTGTAATCCCAGCACTTTGGGAGGCCCAGGAGGGTGGATCACGAGGTCAGGAGATCAAGACCATCCTGGCTAACACGGTGAAACCCCATCTCTACTAAAAATACAAAACATTAGCTGGGCGTGGTGGTGGGCACCTGTAGTCCCAGCTGCTTGAGTGGCTGAGGCAGGACAATGGCGTGAACCTAGGAGGTGGAGCTTGCATTTAGCCTGGGCAACAGAGCGAGACTCCGTCTCAAAAAAAAAAAAAAGCCGGGCAGGAGACTGAGGCAGGAGAATCGCTACAACCTGGGAGGCAGAGGTTGCAGTGGGCTGAGATTGTGCCACTGGACCCCAGCCTAGGCAACAGAGAGAGACTTCATCTCAAAAAACACCCCCCCAAAAAAACATAAAACAAAAAAAGATTGTCTTAATGAGAATGCAGCCCAGTAGGTCTCAGCCTTATTTCACCCAACTCCTATTCAAGTTGGAGTTGCTCTGGTTCAAACACCTCTGACACTTCTCCCCTCCCTTTTATTGGAGAGCCCTTAATCCTAGGGGTTACAAATGAATAAAGATCCATCTTCTGTAACTTTTTCAGGCTGAATAGGGGCGATGATATTCCTGCCTGACTCTTAGGGTTTCTTGTATTCAAGGGTTCAGAGAGGAGCTCAGTCAGAAAGCATCAATATGGTGAGAGCTATTCATAACTCCAACAAAAGGTGATATCTGGAAGATGAAAAAGTGTTCAGTTTAAGACAACATAACAGGCTTATCCTGCATTCCTACACAAAGAGTACAACAGCAATGTACTCCACAACAGTTAAGCAAAATAAGCAAAACTGTCCCAAGTAAACTAAACAAGAAGGTTTTCTGTGAACTGGGCAACTGTTGGAACCAAGCTAATTTAGGGTTACTAGCTGATTCCAGTATTGTGCCCAGAATTAGAATATTGATCCAAATTTTTACATTACCCATCCCTTTTGTTTCTTTTAAGCAGCAGCCAGAGATCACTGGTTGGTTCACAGGAATAAGCAGGGTTAGTCTAAATTG